TCTTAGGTCCTTCGTTTCCTCCTCCCGGGCGGAAAGCCCATAGGAAAGGAATGAATCCCTAGACCCCCCGCCAGAGGCGACAAACTCGTCGAGCTGGCTTAGGACGTTTACATTGTCCTTTTCCAGCTGACGTAACCTATCACCAAATTTTTCTTCAATCACCTCCGCCAGCTGACGAGCCAAGGGGGCTGATCCCCCTGACCTGATTCCCATACTGGTTTGAGGGGTAACCCCTCTTGACCGAGTAGAGGCACTTTTATTCGTGTTGGTGTGATCCCTCCCTCCGTGATGACAGGGAGCTTGTAACTCGAGACTCCTTTGGTGGGGTCCTTTCCCTTTCTGCCGAGTGTTCACCATGGTCACTGTTCTTTAGAGAGAAAAGACTAGAAAAATTAGTCGTTTCCCACAGACGGCGCCAGATTGTGCGTGCAAGATCCTGCACAATATAAAAAACGAGAACAGATCTCTCCCTTGGTGAACTCGAGTGAGCCGGTTGAGTGACCAAACACGCTGCTTGGAACAGCCTGCAAGGTACGGTGGTGACTTGGAACGGCAATGGGAGACCCTGGGAACAGAAGAACGATCCAGTAAGGCTGAAAGTGGTTCCTGGAACAAAGAAGGACAAGTTAGAAGGGCGCCGGAGTGTTTTCCGGCGTATCCCCTCCGACGATCTAGTCAGTCTTTTAGAAAGAGAGAGGAAGGAGAAAACACTGAGAATGTATTGTAGTAGAGAGTTTGTTGTTGCATACCCGCCTTGCCTTTTGCAAGGAGTATTTATATCTTAAAAGCTCATGATTGCTGTCAGTGTGGTCAGTAGGTGATCATTAGGCACAGGTAGTGTGCGCATTGATTCTGATGAGGAATGTCTTCTCGAATTAACTGCTCGGGGTCCCGAGCAATCAATGCTGGGTCATCGGGATGCCGACGGTACAATGTGCTCGTCTCGGGGAGGATGCAATATATGCTCTGTATTATGAGCATTTATTGCCTTTCATTTTCGAACCTTACCGCGTTGAATGCGGTCTCATCAAGGGAATGGTGCAATTAATTGTTTGTTTTCCCAAGTCGCGTGTCAGCAACGGCATGCGGTTTGTCTGTCTTCGATGTGATATCATATGCCACGCGTCCATCCCCTACTGGCTGTGACCTCTGTATTCCAGTACGTTCTGACATTACTTGTGTAAGACGAGGTCATGATGAATAGCCTAGACTAGCCTAGGCTAGTGACCTGTACGTCAATAGCTTATCCTGGAGTAAAGGAAGCGTCCAGGACGGGGTATCTCTCGGCACTGAGGAAAGGCTCATCTCGGGGACCGGGGGAGGTGCCGACCGAGGTACATATCAGACCGAGAACACGTGTCGGTTGTAAAATATACTGAATGTATGATCCTATATGACGGTACCTCGGGGGCGAGGACATTCGTGCGCCGATGGTGCTTGATCTTAGCAACAGTGTTCTAGTAAAACCGAGGACACGTGTCTTTATCATAGGATATTTCAGAAAAGTCCCATCAAAAGGCACAACCAAAATTTTGTTAGGTCTGATAATAACATACCTGGTGTTCTGGATTTAGGGCAAAATCTATGTCTCGTTGATGAACAGGCTGGATCTCGGTGGATGAAGAGATTGGATCTCTAAGTGGCTGGATCTAGGTGGTTCTCGCTGGATGAACAATGCTTGGAGCTCGTCGGATCAAGGGTGGTTAGAGCTCGTCGGAGAAGCCGCTGGATCTCGGTGTTTGGTGGAGGAGGAGAGGTCACCGTCGTTTGTGGAGGAGCACAGGTGAAAACAGTCGTTTGTGGAGGAGAGGTGAAATTTTTTTAAAATTTTTAACCTAGGCAGTGATTTGGGAATTGATAAGGGATTGGACTAAACGTTCAAATTGTTAGTGTAAACGACGTTTTTAAAAACGTCATTTTAAATGATATTTTTATTTTTTTTTGTAATTTAACGTCTATTGCTGCCGTTTAAATAAATCAAGTTTAAAATCGTCATTGTTAATAACTATTTTAAAAATGTCATTAGTAATGACGTTTTCAAAAAAAAAAAATTAAACTTAAAATCTTCATTTTAAATGATATTTTTGGGTAAGAAGACGTCATTTTAAATGACATTTTAAAAAAAAATTAAGTTTGAGAATTAAGTTTAAAAGTAACTAATTTTAAAAATTAAATTTTGAAGGCCAGGGTTAGGAAAAAACCTTCAATCAGAAGGCAAAAAATGTCTTGTCTCATATTTGACCTTGATTTATCTTTTTTCCTCTTCAATAACACTCTTTTTAGGACCTTTGGGGGGTAATGGACCTTTATTCATTCATGATGTGTCTGTCACCTGCACTGAGACGATCGAAAGAAACACAACTCAAACCAATAAGTTTATTTATTATGGAAAAAATTTCAGTAACAACCTTTTTAATAACACTCTTTTTAGTTTATTATATTTTTAAGAATATTTTTTTTATTATTAAAAATATAACTGACACCCTTTATAATTTATATTTAAATATTACTAACACCTCTATTATTAATCTATCATTTTTAACAAAAACAAATGATCTAAAATACCAAAAATACCCTTAAATAAACCCTAAACAATTTTTTTTTACATAAAATTCTATTAAAATTTGAGTCGCTTAAAATTTATTTTTTACATATTAAAATTCAAATTGATTAAAATTTATTTATATATATATTAAAATTTGAGCGGATTAAAATTCGATTCGAACTGATTAAATTTTTTTTTACATATTAAAATTTGAGTTGATTTAAGCTCTACTTAAGTTGTTAGCGTTGATTAAAATTTATATTTTTTCACTTATTAAAATTTGATTCATTAAAATTTGAGTCAATTAAAATTTAGACCGATTAAAATTCAATGCGAGTTGATTAAAATTTGATTTGAGTCGATTAAAAATGATTTTAATTGGCTAAAATAGAATTTTAATCGGATTAAATTTTAATACGTAAAAAAATATAATTTTTAATCGACTCGAATTTTAATACATAAGAAAAAATTAATTATCTTGAATCGAATTTTACTCGATCTGAATTTTAATACGTTAAAAAATTTAAAAAATATAGGGAATCTCATTGAAAATATGTTTATCTGAAGGGGATGTGGATGAAACTTGTTCTCAAATATATCATGATCAATTTAATAAAATTATATTCTAGTTAACATTTTTAATCTGACAAAGGTGTTAGTAAACATTTAAAAAAATAGAGCAGGAGTCTTTAAAAATATAGTAAACTAGAGAAAGTGTGTTTAAAATTTTTCCTACTAATAAAAGAATGCAAATGGACTTAAAAGTAAAATAAATATAGCAAATAAAAATGAGATGAAAATAGTATGTGAGTAACATTGACTTTATAATAATAATTACAAAAAAATTAAATTCTTTTCACAAATTATAAATAGTACAAATAGATCACCCAAATCGGTATATTTCACCAAATTTATTGTCTGTGAATCTAAAACACTTTGTCGCAGCACGTGGATACGAAAAGGTTGTAGTGGTCCTAATCTATTTCCATTTAATTACATGGGCCATGGGTTGCTGGGTTGGCCGACACTACCCCCAGCTGTCTTATTAGAAATATATATAAGATAATATAAATTATTAGTGATGAATATGGAGATTGATGTATAAGTATGAAAACACAGTTTACCTGCTTGCACATGTTTGGAGTGTTAATCATGTACCAAACACGACGTAATTGTGTGGAAATGGAGCTTAATTTGGTCCTCTAGATTAGTATTCTTCTAATCTAGAGGACTAAATTAAGGAGATGGTGTGGAAAAGGAGCGTAAAGAGAGGAGAAGAAACTGTCGACAATAGCTTGAAGATCATTCCACGCCTTCAGTTAGTCCTATGCTGATTTGTACCGATCTTTCTAATTTAGTATACCTGTTTTTTTTTATGTACTATACAAAATTAGTAATCGGTATGTTAATTGAGCTGGACTTTGTGAGTTTGAATAAGAATCTGTTGAGCTCGTTTAGTTAAACGAACTTAAAAAATTATTCAAGTTCGACTTCTTTAGAACTCGACCTGAACCCGAATCGAGTCTGAGTAACTCAACTATTTAACAAATAAACGAGCTGACATTTATGAGCATGACTTTGCAAGCTTGAGTCAAGTCTTCAACGAGTATACAAAATTGTTCAAATTTAACTTTTTAAAACACGAGTTGAACTCGAGCGGAGCCTTATCCGAACCGAGTAGCACGTTTTCGATTAACAATAGCACCGATCACCAACGCAAGTCACCCTCCCCATTGCATTACATTACATTGCATCAAACAAAGGTTTCTACCACTTCTTTTTTTGGGTCAAGCTGTTACATGTGAAGACGGGGATTTGAAAATGAGCAATACTATTAAGACTTAATTCATTATAGTCATTAGATTAATTGTGAGTCTCATTAAACACTGAAATTTTGTATTGATCAAGTAGTTATAACGAACCCACATCTTAGCAATATTAGTTTGTCAAATTCTGCTTGCTGATAGTTTCACCAGCATTCTTGGTTTGCTCATTTGAGCTACAGATTGATCCTCTCCTATATATTCTTCCATCGTCCCCTTAAAACCAATTCAATTCGTCCCAGTCCCACAAAAAATCATTATCAACAGACACATCCCAATCCCAGCTACCATTTTCCATAACTTGACAAGGATTATTGACAATGGTGCGGTCTCCCGACGACGCGTTATGATTTGGTGGGATTATTTTGATCTCTGTCAATTGCTGGTATTGATGAGATGTTGCCTCATTACCATGACGAGGTTGGTGAACTGTTCACTTCTCACTACTTCTGATGGTTGTGGTCTGCTGCATGCTGGTAAGCTTGTCGATTTTAAGTAGACTCACACAAACTGATTTCTTACCTTAACTACATGATATGAGAAAGTAATAAGATTAAATAGATAGAAGATATCCTGAATGAGATTTTGCTATCCACCATCTAAAATTTACACTTAAACTGTAAAATAGATAGCTAGTGTTTAAACACTTCCACTGTTCCCAAATCAACTATATATTTTACCTTTGGTGGAGTTGCATTACTTGATGAAGAAGCTTCTGCTTCAATGGCTCTACACTCATTCATCTTCCACTCAGTCTTTCTTCCGCCTGGAACTCTTCCTCTGCAGAAAACCATGGTTCTCTTCACTCCAATTATTCCATTATTCGAGTATACATAGCCCAGAGAACCAGTGGCTTTCCAATATCCGGTAGTCGTGAGCCGATTAGGCCTTCCTCCATGGGCTTCTCTCTCTTGCCGAGGGACAAAGAAAAACCACTGGTCAGTGTCTCTCTGACATAACTCTCCTGCAAATCCTGGCTCCAAAACCCAAAAAAAAAAAGCATGGAAGTGAGCTTTTCATGATCTTGGTTGGATCCTAGTTTTCTTGCTATTCATACCAAGTCTATACTTGATAGAGGTTACAGAACAAAAAATAAAGTTGGCAAGGTTTAAACAAAGTGAGAAACCAAATCTCAAATATTTATGAAATAACTAATGAAAAAAAATGTGGATGTTCATACAATATTTATAAGCTAAGTGAAAACCAAATCTCACATATTTCTGTTATCTACGTCTAATTAAAAGTGTTGCAAACTGGCTCTTCTGTTAACTTCTGTTACTTATTCAATCAAAAATTATTCTACTAATGTTGACGAAATGAGCAACAGAATAACCACATTGCAACATTTTTAATACAGTGTGTGATATAAGAAATTTAATCTTTAAGAGTGCAAAACGAGAATTCTTAAATCATTCAGGGTGCAAGATACAATTGGCCCAAATCCAAAACAATCACTTTGTAAAAAACTTTATATCTAAGAGTCAACATTAGGTCAGGCCCACTTGGCCCAGTTGGCGTACCGGGCTCTTAATTGAACAATAGGTCGTATTGAGCTACACCATCTAGAAAAATACGGCACGCACTTGCCCAACAAACCAACTTTAATATGCTTATCTTTTTCTTAATTTATTGGGTTTTTTTGGGTGTGGATATAATTTTTTAGACTTATTTGAGTAAAAGTGTATGAATAAGTTATTTATTCTATTAAGTACAATTTTTATAAAACTTTTTGTGTTTAATACAAAATTCATAATGAATTAAAATCTTTTTTACTTAAACACCCTTCCTTAATTTATGCATTAATTATTGACAATTATTTGAGAAAACAAATATGTAAAGATTAACAATAACAATGAGAGGTAAAATAGGAGTTTATAGAGAGCAAGAGAAAGTAAAAACAGAGGTATTTCGTGCTAGAAAATAAAGATGAAGGAATATGAGTGCAAAATATAAGTGAAATATATATATATATCAGTTTGTTTCACTTTACACACACACACACACACACACACACACACACACATATATATATATTCGTCACATGCCACCAACCTTGCTTCCACGTCATCTGACCGAAAGAAATAAAGTTTTTTACTATAATGATTGATCAAACCCTGAATTTTTTTCCCCCCCCCCCAAAAAAAAAAAGAGAATCTGTCAAAATGTTTTGTTAGATATTATGTATTGTTCGTTGTTGGGATATAGGAAAAAAAGAACTTATTTGTTTTTTTTAATGGGTGGAACAGTTGTTTAATGTGTGTAACTATTTTTTTAATGGATGTAACTATTTTTTTAATAAGTGTAACTGTTTTTTTAATGGGTGTAACTATTTTTTAATGGGTGTAACAATCACAGTCTTATGCAATTGTTAAGGTATGATGGTGTAATGATGCTACAATACTAAATGATGTAACTATTTAGTTTATGTAAACAACTGAATGACAAATTGAGTTGATGTCATAATTTTGTGTAACTGTTTGATTTATTATAACGCATGAATAACTGTTCTGTGTATTCTATGACAATTGTAACTGATTAATGTAATTGTGTTGTTGTAGTATTAATATAAATAAAATAAAAGAAAATAGGGGTTGAGAGAGAGAAATTATTAAAAAAAATATGCCCTAATTTTACCTCCCATTACTTGATTGTAGCCACAAAAAAAAAAGGGTTTTCATCCATTTGTTGTTTACCGATGGTAATAGTGACATTTTTAAATAATATGCACTTTATCTCAAATAAGTTTTTGACTTGTACTTTTGCCCAAATAAATTTAAAAAATTGTACTGGCTTTTAAATTCTCCTAATTTTTTTTAGATTCAACCCATTTTCAAATTATTTTTTTATAGGCCTATAATCAGACCCTTTTTTGCGGGCTGACGGGCAACAATACGGCCCACAGACCTACCTACCACAAGGACTATCGAGTTGTCATGTGGTGTTTGGTTTGAAAGAATCGAGCGTGGTCGGTCATGGTTCATGAACTAAATGTTGAGGCTTAGCCAAATTTTGGTTTGTATCAATCCCCTATTTCTAGTTGATAGAACTAATTGGATTATAATTCATTTTGTTTTCACAAAACACACATTTATAACATCACGTTGCGTTTGGTTGGTAATAATGAAACATGAGAATGAAAGTTGTCATTTCTTAATATTTTGTGGTATTTTTCAGTTCAACCACCACCACCACTTGGGCTCAAGTCCATGTCGGGACTGGTTCGGGGTCTGGTTAAAGTCCAGGTCCAGGTTCAGGTCTGGGCTCGTGTCTGGGGTCGGGTCTAAGTCTAGGGTCAAAGATCAAGTCTAGGTCTGGGTTTGAGTCTAGGGATTATTCAAATATTTGAGTGAATTTTTAATTATATTCCAGCATTTAAACCTAGTTGTTATTAAATATTGGAATGATAATGTATATTTTATTTTATTTCTACGTTCATTCCATTTTCATATAAAAACAATATCATGTACCAAACACAATGTAAGTGTATTACGAACGACTCATAACAAGTTAAATATTCTTATAATATAGAGCAATAGATTAATGATTTTACACCTTAGGGTGACCAAAATTATGGAGATGGTGCGGGAACGTAGTGTAAAGAGAAGGGAAGAAAACGAAGCCAACGCAAACATGAACCAAAAATAAACTATCAACAATAGCTTGAAGATCATCACTTCTAATTCAGTATATATGCTTGTTTTTATGATGTACTATACCAAATTAGTCCTTGTGGATATCTAATTTGTAATTTTACAACGCTGCCAACAAGTAGCATCAATCACCCATGCAAGTCATCCTCCCCATTGCATTACATCAAACAAAGGCTTTAGCCTCTTTTTTTTTTGGTCAAGTTATTACATGGTGATACAGGATTTGAACATTGCACCTCTTGGTGCATGAAAGAAGTCATTAGCCAGTTCGACCGACCTAAAGGTCCGGATTCAACCACTTCACCACATTTTTATTTTGAACCACAAAAATCACGTGATGGTACCATGGTTTTGCCTCAAGAGCAATGCTATTGGGACCTAATTCACTATAACTTTTAAATTTACTGTGAGCTCCATCAAACATTGAAACTTGTTATTTATCCAATGGTTTCAATGAAGTCACATTATTAGGTCAGCAAATTATGTCAATTTTTTAAGTCTAAATAACATTTTCCTTTGCCTCAAATAGTTTGAATAGGAGATCGGTGTATGCAAATATGCGTGAGAGATTAAGAAAGTTTTTTAACCATTCTGAGGATTAAAAGTATAATGAGATTATATCCATAATCTAATATTGATGGCCTTGAGAAGAGGTTTGTGAACTAGGCCAACGTTGACTTTAGAGTGTTGAGTTGGGTCTAGCCCAACTAATGAAGAGTCCAAACCCTTTAGTTTAGTAAAAGCAAATAAAAAAAGGGTTTTTATTGTAGGCCAATACTCTATATAGGATTTGTTTGCAAAAAATTCCTTCGGTTAAAATATTTTGGGGAGAAGTCCTCTTTTGTTTTTTTTTTGGGTCCCAAAAACACTCACAGAGGTAACTAAACAGATGTTTGTCTGTCTTTGGAACCACTATATTTTATTCACCATCTTCACAAAATATGGCCACTAATCAAGACCCAAAAACTAAATTTTTCAAAATTTGAACAAAACTCCTCGAATTTCTTCAGTTTTCAAACATACACAAATCACAGTCCTCTAAAAATGAATTAAGAGTTTCTTATTTTAGTGAGACAATGAATTTGAATTTTAAACAACATCTTCTTTCTATTTCCTAAAATCTCTCTCACATAGTTTTAATTTCCTTGTCCAAAAATCTTTCTCACATAGCTATAATTTATCTTCCTTACGTTTGTTTATAATTGACCCTATCTAGAATTCCTTTTCCCTCTATTTAACTATAAATTATAGTATAAAATCTCTCCATTAGTTAGCTAAAACTAGTGTCACTTTATATTGTTATACTATGATGAAACACTACAATTCATTAAAAGTAATATATATGAATGCCAATTTGTGATGTTACATTAAGTGATGCATACTCTTTTGATTGTGTAAGTAGATATAATTTCACAACATTTTGTCAGTGATTAAAGTATTGATGAAAGTGTTGCACTGTCATATGCCACTGTAATGTCACATTGAAGATGATGATGACCTTAGCTTCAAAACAAACATTGCTTTTGTTTAGATCTTGTGTCATTTTTGGATGATTTAGACGTTCAAAATTCAAAATTCAAAAAAAAAAAAAAGGATATCTTCCAAATTCGGAAACTGCCTATCAATAAAACCAAATCTTTATATAAAAAGAAACTGTCAAAATACAAACACCATAAAAATAGGAAAAATGTATTATAATAAAGTGAAGAATAAAAAAATTGTCGTTGTGTATATCTCTACAATACATTTTAACCCATTGGTACTTATTTACAACAATTTTTTTCAAGGTCTTTTCTCACAAAAAAGTTCTTCACAAGATACTTACTCACAATTTTTTGTAAAAAAAAAAAAAAAAGGGGCTGTGGTGCAACATGGCACACTTGGGACCACATGAAATAAGAACACATTTAGTCTTCCATAAGCGGTGGCTTGGTGACGAAACTGAGGACAGGAGAAAACAATTGTTCTCGTAGAACACGTCGATCCAAAATTCGGGCAGGCATTCAATGTCCATCGTATTTGATAAAATTTTAGTATGTTGTTCGCAGCAGCGGGGACAACACATTGATCAAATTATTTTGTTGAAAGCCTTCTTAGATTGATATTTTACAAGATTTACTAGATGAGATCTATTCTCGTTACTTTTGTTAATACCCATTTTTGAGTGGTGAATATTTGATATTTTGATGAAAATTATTTTGGGGAGAATTGTTGTAAATCTATTATTTTGATATAGTGAAAAATTGAGATCGAAGTTAGTAGACGTATCCCGGGCTTAGGGTAACCACAAAATTTTTGATTTAGTCTGGTACAACTCTTATTTAATTTGCATAAATAGGAGTAGAAAATTAATTATCCTATT